CAACAGCGCGCTGCCATAGCGAACAAACAGAAAAGATTAGCCTGGTGCGGTTTTACAGCCAAGGAACGGAAGGAAGTGCCGTATCCCAGTCAGACAGCGAGTATGGTGCTCGAACTAGATTAATGCTGCTGCAGCCACAGCGGTGACTTCGGTCGTGGTTAAAAGATTATTTTGATCCTTTTGGTGTAGCGTTTTTGGATGCCATAATTGACGTTGAAAGATATATCACTCATAGCTGGTTTATGTTCCAAGCAAATGATGAAGAATGGAGCTGTTGATTTTCCTTACTCGGTCACGCCATACCAACACAGGGCATTGTTAAGCGGGCGAACCCATCGCAATCAGTGCTTTGAAACCAGGACGGTGCAAATGACAGACCTTCGTACCAGTCCTGATAGTGCCTTGGCCACAAACACCATCCGATGAGGTTTGTTCATTTTAAACACAGCAGGTGACCAGCGTTTGTTATCGTTGCGCGGTTTTTCTCCGTCTGCCTAGTCCGACTTCCTAAGATGATGGTCAGTGGCGCATCCAGATTATCCATTAGATTGCACAGCTTCAGTGATTTCGCTAATCTAAATCTAGCTTTCATTAATCAATCAATCCCCAGATTTGTATATCAATGTGATTACGAACAGCGAAAGGACACCTACGGGCACTGTGGGTAGCGTATACTCTGTTGTACCACTGACTCCCATCCATGCCAGCCCAGTCAATGGGAGTGACGTATGCGAAGTATAGCCCTCATGGAGTTCATATCACTGGAGGAAATCGGTGGAGTACGGCCCGTCTGTCGCCATCGGTCCCATATCGTAATGAGGTATTTCCAGTGTTGTCCTTCATTCCTGGTCATGGATACCACAGTGAGTTAGGTTGTTTCATTATCCATGAACTATATTAAACTGTGTATTATGGCAAATCAGAATACCGTACACGCGCTAAAGCCTAGTGCGATACTGGCCACTGGTCTGGCGGGGTGCCCACTGTCGCACAAGCATACGGGCAGGGGTTGGATTTGCCACCGCAAAAATAGACAGCGACCGGCGATCCCAGCCACAACACTTGTCCATAATGAGACCAAAGGTTTTTCTGTTGATCACAGCGTTCACACTATACTGTTAATCTCTGAGGTCACACAATCACGGTATTTAACAATCAACGCATGAAGTTCCGAACAGACAATGACTGACCTATATTTTAAGGGACTATGGCTGTCAACCACTGCCGATACTGGGCATCGTCATGTACACCGCATTGACGCACGAATACTTCCTTACTCCTCCCTATTCAAGTGTACACTATGGGTTTTCTAGCGTTCTACTTTCGATCTCAGTTCGCTTTGTTCTGAATTGAATTTCAGTCACTCTGAAATCTTGTACTGCAACTGAACTAGCTAAATTCGCTAGATTACTAGCTGTAATGCCACACCGTAGTGCTGGTTTCGTCTCTTTCCATTTGAACCGACTCCTTCTTCCTACTGACGGTGAGAAGGAAACCGCTCATCCTTGGTGTTGTAGGTTAATCATGCTGAAGTGTGTCTTCAGAGTAAGTGACCCTCGGTAGCACTTACGGTGTGTGACTATCGTGATTTTGCCACGTAAACGATTAACGCCCATACGCGCCCAGGTCGCCACCGATCATGTCCTTTTAGAAAAGGGAGTTCAGTATAAAACGTGGAACGATGTTGCATTTATAAATACTGTACTGAATGCTAGCTTGACCTCATCTACTGGTTACACCACCTGACGATCTCAAAGTTGCTACCATAATGGGTGAATCATTGGTCTCTTATGAAGCGGTTTCTCCAATTTTCTCGTAATTAAATTGCAGATGAATTGTTTTCGGTCTGTTCGCATTCGATATCACCCTGTTGGTTAACCATATTTCCAGTTACAAAGTGTTTTGCGAGTTTCAAAAAGCAGCGTTTATGTCTGAACATCGGAGATAAATTAGGTGATATAATTCAAGGGTTATATATATATATATATATATATATATATGAAATGATTTAGAACGGGGATTAACTAACTTGCGTCGGCAATGAGTTTAATAATGAGAGGAGTCGAACAGTTGTAGTACCGGTTGGGTGGCTTTACTCAGCATATATTTGACACATTCGTAGACAACAGCACTTTCACGTATTTATTTCTAAGGGTTGTTTTAACCTCCGAACCCCATTATTACCAGCACCGCATCGCGTTTGTGTTGTGAGTTTCTCTTTCCTTTCCCTTCCGCTTAGCCTCCCCATCCAACCACGATCTCATTTATTGGGCATAATGCAACTCCTTTTTGCGACACCACAGTCGGCTGTTTTCTCTCCGAAACGATGTCCATTCGTTCTTGGTGACTCAGCCAGCGTGCCTCTGTTGCAGCATTTTTTTTCTCTTCTTTTGTATTGCCGCACAATAGCTGTGGTGTTTTTCCACCTGTTGCTAACGTATATGATGATAATGATGATGACGGCATGTTCTCCAACAACGATCTTTATGGTGATGGCAATTGCGGATTATCATAATTTAACTTCTTATCCTCCCCACTTATTCATTCATATCCAATTCCGCTCATTGGGCTGTCAGTACACAGACTCACGTATTGCATTTTATTTAACACGTGTCTAATAAATATTTGGCAGAGTGCCACAACACATGAGTAACAATAACAAAAATGAGCGAGTGAGTAGGAGAAATGGAAGCAAAGTTTCATGTGTTGTGTAGGCATTGAGCTTCCCGGTTGTCCAGGCCGAGGAAGTGGGTTGACTTAAGGGATCCCACCCCGAGCCTTTGGTCACAGGACCTAACCCGCAAGGTAGCGGGGTGATTCACGGAGACCGTTGACAGTCAAGTGGCTCATTCGTCGTCTTTGTGTTCGGAAGCAGTAGACAGAGAAGCCGGTGGCCAGCGAGGTTGTTCATCCGCACTCCGTTAGATACTCACCCCCAGTTACAGGAGTGAAGGTTCAGTGACCCTATAGCCGGTCACACTGGCTTTGGCACAGTGCCGTACGAGCACTTGTGGTAGTTAATAGAGAACCAAGTGACCAGTCCAGAACTTCCAAGGCTCTGAGACCTTGCCACTGATTGTCCGCGAATGCTTATTCATCTCGCCTGCAAAGCAAACGAGACTTATTCGCAGTTACCTCCACAAGGAAAGCATTCCCCGAGCCCCAACCTGGGGACTCCCCCGATAGCGTACAACTCCGCCACGGCACAGACTCACGAGGATCCGTTGAGTTTAATGATTTTCTCATATGTGCCCTATATTGCGGGATACATGCAGGAGCGGCAGCTCTTCAATGAACCGTTCCATGCAACCGAAGCCTTTTCTTCCCGTCCACATTTCGTTGGTCGGGGCTTTATCTGTAAGTGTACTGCCTTCCGCGTCTTGGACCTATAATAATAACGTATATTCTCAGGTTTATGAGGCATACCCGTTCGGCATGATCAAAATTTTAACATTGTGTTGTATAATATTTATAGGCAGAACAAAAATCGTGTTTAACATCCATGGTTAACTAGTTCAGAGCGTTGAATGAGCAAAAGATAATTCATGGTGTCTTGACGGAGAGCTCCTTGCACCGGCGGAATCAAGTTTCCTTCCTTGGGTAAAGGATGAGGAGCAGTTGTGTGGTGATAAGTGAACAATTAAAGCCGAAATCATACTTACTGAATATATCAACTGATTAGGCTAAGCATTTTCTATACCTTGAGGACTTCAAAAAAAGAGTAAAGACGGTAGTTCTTGACTTTCACTTCAGCCGCTGTATACATTGGCGGTGGCAAATAGAATGGCGAACGTGGTTAGCACTTGTCTACTGGCTCAGGCGATTTGCTTTGACTATACACCAGGAGTAACCGTTTAAAGGAAAAATAAAAGCGATATATAGGAAATAGATATGGAAGTTAAGGGGGCAGAATCGGTTTTCTTCTCCTCGTCGCCTGATATGTTTACATGCGGGCAACTAGGCAAGCATAGACCAGTAAGAGATCGAGTAGTAAATGTGACTGAAGATGGATAGATTCATTCAGCGTTTCCTTTACAGCCCGCACTTTTTGTTATGGTTACAAGGTAGGCGTGGCTGAGTAAACAGAATATGAAGAGTGAAGAGAAAAATGGTAGTCTCAATCTCAGTTTTCACTTCGTTTGCAATCCATACTTATTAGTGTGTCTGTGAGGTACGCTTTCCTGAGTGAGGAAAGAAAGAGGGTCGGGTAAAGAAGAGTGAAGGGGGTTCGGTCAACTTTTCATTTTTTCAGTTCGCCTCTTCAACTGGGCCTGGCCAAATACATACACTGTACGTAGCGCATTTTCTCTAAATCTGTAATCACTACACTTATGTTTAGACCCCATACTCAAATAGCATTTTTTATTGCAATTTATTTGCACCATTGTTTTTATGTATTCACCGTCAGGCAGTCCGAAGTTGCTCCTTTAAACATTGGTTACAATTCACGTGCTCTTCTTTCAATATGGAGTATTTTCCAGATCTCAGTGTATCTGTTTAGGTTGAATTTTCTTCGAACATTAGTCTTAGTTTTGGACACCGGGAGTTCGTTCTTGGCATTTCTAATTACGTATCTACCTTTTTGCTTGCAGTGAATAGTTATATTTGGTGTGAATATACGCTTATGAACCAAGCCAAATCAGAATCTTAGTCCTAGCTTCATGCACCTTAGCCACAATGACTCCAGTTGTAACCTTTAACAGTACTCAGAATATTTAAGTTTGGATGATAAATTAAAGAAGGCCTTTCTGAATGATTGATGCACGTTTTCAAGGCACATGCGATTGTGCTTCCTGCAATTAATTGGCGTTATCTACACTTATGCGCTACACAATATTTATGGGTAGTCAGTTAAGACACAACATGTGTGCTTTCCGATAGTTGTTTACTTGTTGACAATGTACTCGATAGGTTGGTTCAGCTTTCCTCCTTATAGTGTGTTAAAAGCACATTACCTCTTCAGTAACTATGTTTCACTCTTTTCTTCCCATCCTTCACAGATTTGTTGAGTACATCTGATAGAGACAAAGGTCAAGATTGTGAATACATCATAAAGGTGGGTTTCCGAATTCGTACCAGAAATCGATCAGTGCTCACACTTATACGTAATGCCGAACTAGCATACGATCTGTCGACGTTCATATGTAGCAAGCATCCAGAGAAGCGCATTATAATTTCCTGCTTAAGACCACTTTAATGCTTTGCTGTCGACCATGACAGTATCAAATTCACTGTTTATGAACGTCCTGTACTGGGCAAATCATATCGCTATCTACACTGAAACATTGCCGAAGGAGAAACGGATGACATATGTACGGATAATAGATTTGCGGACACAGAGCCAAAGACCGTTTTTCTGCTTCGTGGTTGAGATGCGAATCACTAGTTTTGCATGATAGTCTGTGAAAGGAATTTTTACCGAGCAACCACGAACTGTTCCTTCGGACTTCATGCACAGCTTTATGCACCGTTGTGTATTTGAGGATACTTACTACTGCATGCGTGGTCATCCTCATCGCTTAAAGCCACGCGAGCAGCCTTTCGAAAATAATAACTGAATGTGCATAGTTTACGTGTCACGGATAGTGTATACTTGGACAGTAACCTGATTCTCATCGCGTTCCAGTGATGGTTACTGTTACGGAACTCAGCCCTTCAGGGACAAGCATTTTTATACGGCAACGTCAACTCAGCGAAGATTATAGTATGTTTCGTAAGCCAAACTCCTCGATATAAGTTGCACGTCCACATCCATAACTAACGACTTTCCTGAGTCGATAAAGTTCCTCCTTTGACTCAGTTAAACAAACAGTGAATAAGTCACACGAATGTCAGCCAATCCACGTCTAGTAATCGAATCCGTTGCGCTCGTATCCCATTGACTGTCTGGCTCGCTCGGTTGGTTCATCCGTTCACTTTCACATAATACTACAATCGCAACTATCACACGTTTTTAAATAATAACCTTCAGGCGTCGTTTTAGATGAGCTTCGGTAAGTGGTGACACACAAATATAAATAATAATGTGTCAACTGTACACCGTAACGGCGCTTCGCTGCCTCGTGACCACCACCAGTCACGCGTAGGCTGAGTATACAGCGAGGACGCCCACTCTTAGGCGTATTCGATTCGCTGACCTTATGCTTCTGAACCAGATTCGCAGACCACTCGGCCAGTGGTGACGCACGTGACTCTACTAGTCAGCCTCGGCACACGTTCATCATGTCTACCGCAGATTCCCGTCTTATTGTGTAAAGTTACTCGTTACTGCCGTGTTGACATTTTTGATCATCTGAAGTGGACTTTCTTTAGCGCTCAAGCTGCTGGTCTCATACACCGAATTCCGCAGATAGGCAAACGCAGGCGCTGAGTATGAGGCAAATGGCTGGTTATCCAACTGTTCCAGTGTTAAGGTACCTATGGCTTAGCGATCCGCTAAAGGAGGAACACTCAAAGGATATTCCTATCGTTCCAGTCCCATCTGGATCTGAATTCCCTTTCGGAATGCTTCAAATAGGCATGTCAATGACAAGAGAACGCTGGAGGGCATACCTAAATGCCCTTGGTTATGTTTGTTCCGGATTTATCACTAAAAGTCACCCACTTTATCGCACTGCACAGTCATTCATGTATTCACTACCTTACTCATCCATTATGCTTTGTAGTATTTGATGCGCAGTTGTAGACACCACAGACTTGCTTTCTAAAGATTTTTCATAACCAAGGTGGGCAACTGCGAACCGAACTTCAGCTAATATGATAAGCTTGCATCACGCTTAGTTGGATAAGATGGTTGGCGGTATCCGGTTTCCGATTTGCCTGTCACTGTGGCCAGCCACAGGACACCTGTGCCTACAGAGGAACCATGGGTGGCTTGGGCTGCACCTCCCACAGCTCCACCCACACACTCCATATCTAGTGTAAACCCGAAGGAACAAGACCGGGAGGTATGTGGATGGGAGCCGCCTTACATCAACGGAGCCGGCCCACACTCCTTCATAGGCAAACACAAGCACGTTGTATTTGGGAATCAAGCGCACACAAGGCGATGGCTGGATCGTAGTCCGCTCCACACTGAATGGAACCACACCGGGGAAATCAATCAACAGCCAGTCACTTGAAACGAGTTCAAAAAGAAATAAATCGAACAATGCTTAAACATGCGGTGACATAACTCTTCAATAAATGTGTATTTGAACTAAATTATTTATGAACAAGTCCGGGATAAATTCAAGACTTCAGAAAATATATTGTAAGAAAATGCCACAAATGCGAACATTTTATTAAAGTTAACCAAAGTAGTTTAAGGGACGTGTGCAAGTTTATAGAAGATAGTACAGGTAGACAATAATATGAGAAAGAAAGCCATTAGGACAAAATTAAAAACTGAAGTTGATTCCCATGACCTATAATCAAGCTTAGAACGTGAGGCCCACTTTGGTCATGTCTTGGTAACGTTGCTTCGGTTTCTCCGCATGCCGCTTCCCAATACTCAGCTGACCATATACTAGCTGCTTCGGTATCCGCGTCGAATCCATACGTCACATATGACCGAGCCACCTCAGGTGTCTCAGCAAAAGTATGCAGTCCACTGCATACATTCCACTTCAGCGCAACACTTCTGCGCCCCCAACGCCGTCGCACCAAACGACGCGCAGAATCCGTCTCAATCGCTGTTGAAGTAACCGCACGAGATATCGCACATCCCGCCGGTACATCGTCCACGATTCGCAGCCGTAGAGAAAAACGGACAGCACCATGTATTTGTTCACACTATCAGGTTCGTGCCAACGGTAAGTTGATGGTGTTCCACACTCGGTATTTAAGCTTCCCGAATACCGAAGCTGCCTCCGAGACGCAGATACGCAGCTCACTGCGCATCTGCTGCTCAATCGAGATCGCACTCCCAAGGTAGCAGAAGCGGGTGGTTTCCAGTCCTTCAATACCAATGCTGATTTGCTGCACCATTGCGGCTTGCACTTCCGGTAAAGGATCAAAGAAACAGACAGTTTTATTTGTGTTGATGGTGAGCCCGAATTTGGCCGCTGTCGAAGCCAGAGCACTAGTCATGTGCTGCAACTCATCTGCGCTGTGTGCAATCAACACACAATCGTCAGCGAACAGCAACACTCGGATAGTTGGCTCACAGAGTAGGCTCCTCGCACCCAAACGACGGATGTTCAGCAACCCACCATCAATACGGTGCTCCGTAAGCAAAAGCCGCATCAAAAGCACAAGACATTACTGCATAAAGACAAATCTTAGACAGGGCAGGAGCTAAGACACAGTCTTGCTTCACATTAGAGATAACTGCAAAGTCATCCGAGGTCTCTCCACTCAGCTGCACCTTCACTCGCGTACCATTGTGCAGACATTAAATTAAACTTACAAACGTACGCGGGCAACCAAACTTACCCAAACCAGCCACAATGCGTCGCGGTTCACCGTATCAAATTCCTTGGTGAAATCAACAAAAAACGAGTACAAAGGCTTGTGTCGTTCTCTGCACTTTTCCTGCAACTGACAAGTCTCAAACACCATATCTATAGTGCTGCGACCCGAACGGAATCCGCACCGCTCTTCCGCCACGTTAGGTTCCATAACCTGACTGACGAGGGGGTTGAGCGAGACTCGGGCAATCACCTTGCCCACACAACTCAGCAATCTGCTGCCACGATAATTCGTGCGACTTTGCTTGATCCCTTTGCCCTTGTACAGTGATAGCACAAGCACATCCTTCAGCTCAGAAATCATCTTCTCCTCAATCCACACGCGTTGCACCGAGTGGTGCAGCGCGGTCACCAACGTGGCTCCGCTGTGTTTCAATACTCAAGGCGGCATCCCGTAGGCACCGGCACACTTGCCGTTTCGCAGCTGAGCAAGTGCTCTCTGCGTCTCATCCAGTGTCGGCGTATCCTCCAGATCCGCCTTCACATCGTGCTGCTTCAGGCCGTTCAATGTAGGCCAGTCGATCTCTGAACGGTTGTTCAAGAGACAGTCAAAGTGTTTCTGCCAGATCTGCATTATGTCTGCAGTCTGTGTGCAGGTTGCGCCTGAACTACCATCGATCAGTGTCCTCAGCAGCTCCAATCTCGGTCCATACACCGCCTTCAATGAGTCAAAGAATTCCTTGTGTTGACGGCGTTCGGCGTAGCATTCCATCTGCTTCGCCTTCTCCGTCCACCATGCATTTTTAATGCGACGGAGCTCTCGGGTCAGCTGCCGTCGAAGTTTGCGAAACTGACTACTCTGCTCCAAGTCACTGGGGTCTGCAACATGTGAAGCAAATGCTGCATTCTTCTCCGACACCAATGCGCCGATCGTCGCATTGTTCTCATCAAACCAATCAGGGCGCTTACAGTTTGCGCGCCCGATGGTCTCCTCGGCAGCAGCTGTCACCTGGTCGCGAATGTAGTGCCACAGGTCGCCCACTGTGGCTATGCATTCCACATCACACAGGCGGGCATCCATCATCTTCTTCAGCTCAGTACATTTCTCCACAGTACCGAGGGAGAGAATGTCGCCCTTGCGCCTCCGATTCACGGCCGGAGTGCAATACATAGGCTGACGAATGTCAATGTATAGTTTGTTCCGCACCAATTCGTGATCAGTGCCACACTCAGCTCCACGCATTACACGTGCCATGCGCACTTCACGCATATCACCCTGACGTACGATGATATAGTCGAGCAGGTGAGCGTGACCACCCCGTGGGTGCGTCCAAGTTGCTATATCACTCGCACTCAGTGCAAACCGGGTGTTCGTGATCGTCAGGTCGTGAGTGGCACGCAGTGAGAGCGGCCTGCCACTGTTCGCATTCGCTGAACTAATGCCATGCGGACCGATAACATCTGTCCACACCGCTGCATCACACCCAACGCGGGCGTTGAGATCACCCAGCAGAAATAGTCGGTCTCTCTTCGGCATAGAGTGTATCACGGATGATAACTGAGTGTAGAATTGATCACACGTGTCATCAGGATAACGCATGGTCGGACCGTACGTCCTTGTAAAAGTGGTAAACTTACCTTTTCCAAGTCGTAGGCTAACAGACATCAGTAGCGCGCTGAAGCCACTTGGTTCACCCACCAGGTGGCCATTTAGGGGATCGGATATTGCAAAACCCGACTCCATGTTCACGGTGTTCTGATGTGGTGTTCCCCACCCAGTAGAACATATAACCGGCACCAGCTTCATGCAACGTACCTTACTCAACGAGCCGGGTATCGCTGAGCACCGCAATATCGATGTTGTAGCGCGCCAGTTCTATCGCGAGCAGTGCAGTGCGTCGCTCTGGGCGCTCACTTCATTTCCAGTCCAGTAGTGTGCGTACGTTCCAGCACCCGATGCTGAGTGCTTTGCGCGCAGACATACGATTGCATTGGTGGGCAATCGCACGCGAGGTGGCGGTTGTGTTTCGGAGGTCTGCTTGAAGGACTCCACCCGGAGCCTTTGGCACAATAGCCTGTCCCACAAGGCAGTGAGGAGTAGACCCATCTCGGGAATATGATTGCAGAGACAGATTGGTATCTGCTTGACGGCCGTCCCACGCAGTCTTTGGTGATTTGGAACAATTCATATATGTTTTGCGACCGTAGTAGGATACACATATGACCACGGCCAGACGCAGGTGGGTTTTGGCGGGTTTGCACCAATTTCACCAGGAGCTGCCTTGAGGCGGGCAGTAGCAAATTTTGAACACCGGAAGTACCCTCCCACCGTCAGAGACAATGCTTTGCGCTCGTGCTCTACGCTAATCGAGCTGAGATTATAGTTCGTAGACCTGCTGTCTCCCATGCGTTGGTTTTACTGAAAGGGGGCCATCGACCACTTCCTAACTTCCGAAAAGTATGGACTAGGATACCGGCAGGCGCCCACACGTGACAGGAGAACGACTCAGGTCCTCAGCCAAAGCCCTCAATCAAATGTACACCCGAAACGCAGTGGGTCTAGCACATGGTCGGTTCACTGACTCATGCGGATTGGTGTCCTGGGAGAAGGGAGAAGGGCGTAACGGAACTCCCATCCAGCGGTGGCTACAAAGAGGAGTCCAGGACATGAGCCCATGGCACATCAGTAGCAGCAGTGGGTAGACCATCTGTCAGAATCTAGCCACCACCAAGTTCAGCGCACCATGGGCTCTCCCGCCAGTTGGATAAGATATTGACATTGATAACCTCATAGCTATCTGCTTCATGGTATCCTTTCATCGAAAAATGTACGGATAATCCTAAGAAAGTGGATCACCAATTCGGTACTGTGGGAGCTTTCGTTAAGGCCTGTGATGACCATGATGGGATGCACTAGTAACCGACCGAGCGACCTAATTTCCCTCCGGTTCGTTCGACTTACGGTGTACCATTAATATTCTAATGGAACATGTTTCAACAGGATAACTACTAGATATATTCAACGGCACAATGTTTCCTTCTTCCGGATAATCTTTTAGGTCAAGTGTGAAACTACATTCTTTGGCCCAAAAAATCTTTTGGAAAGCTTAGTTGACCTATTCCTACCATGTTGACGTTGCTACAAGCTCTAGGACGGCGTACCAGTTTCGCTCTTTGTACTCAACTAATACGTCCTTCAGTACGAGTGCGCCAAACTAAACTAACAGAGAATTCAATCAGGTTTGCAGCTGAATATGCGTCGTTTACTGCGTGACGGATCTGTACCAAAGGTTAGGAGTGATGCTCATTACTGCACTCATGCCAAACGGGTTGCCGGAGGGAATCGCATGTATGGTTCCATCCGAAGGACCGTAGTCCTAACTGAGCGTTGAAGGCTTGATATCTGCTCAAGACTTCTTACCACGTCCGCTCCTGTTTGCCGGTGGCCGAAAGGATAGGGGCAATCCGGAGGGCACGTGTTCCAATCTGCATACATGCGGGTGACCATGTGGTGCACTACCAGCCAGTAGTGTATGTGAAAATGAGGAGGTGCAAGGAAATCAGAGAAGTCGTGGATCGCCACGGAAGAAGGGAGCGTAGCGCACAAATCAACTAGACGCATGGCGCGTGGTGCACAGATTGTCGACACATTGTGAATGAAGAGGACCGATGAACGGAGAGTCGGTAAGATACCATGAAGGAAATGCCCATGAAGGCCCAAGAAGGATGTGCGAGAACTCATTGCGCTCGTTAACTCCCACCCATTTATCAGGTGAGTGGGAAATTTATTGGTCCATGTGATGACCAATATGACTAGTCAGTAGCCACAGTGGTTCCGAAAGACGAATGCATGTAAGCTGGCTGAGATTGCGCACTCCTCTGCTTAACTGTGCACTCGCCTTTTCTGATCCAAACCGGTGCAGCAGCTTTATCTTTCCAACTTCCTTTGATACGAGGATGAGTGAAAATATATAACCAACACGCATTACCTACAGAACAAAAGTCCTCAGATTGAAAAGTAAAGGGACGAGAGTTAACTATTACTGTTTTTTGTGTTACAAATGGGCTTTGTCAAATATGTAAGGCTTACTGATGTTTAGTTCACTTGCATATACCTGTTAAATGCATTGTTTTCTCTTTCCCTGCTTAACTTTTACTACTTTTATAACGTTATAGACAAAAAGCCGGCGTATGTACGAAATCTTGCTCACATTACACCAGAAACTGTTGGAAACATTCGGTGATTTGTGAGTGCAACGCTTCAGCCTTTCTCATCAACTTACTTGCATACGACCACACTTAAACAAAGTGGTTCTGACGGTTCCTTATCAAACCTTCAGGAGAGAAAGCTCAGTGGCTGCCAAACGCGCTGCTTTTCGGGCTATGTTTCATTCGCAGTTCACCCAATAACTCTTCAACATGATCGAGAGAACACCATCACCCCTCGGCAAACGCAGAAATGTGATTTTGTTTAATGATTGCTCAACCTATTTACTTTTCTTTCTGAGTGCACTGTTGCCCTTAGCGGGTTTCTTTTGACTGTCTCGTATGCATTTACACCTTCCGATTAGTTAGCCTAGCCTACTATTCCATTTTAAAGCAGAATGGTTATGGAGAGTGCGAGTTGATAACTTATGACCTGGGTAACCCGCATTTGAACCGTTAGAGATCAAATTATCTTTTTCCTTGTTTCTGCTGACTGTCACATACTTTTTCATTGTTGACCCTACAAAACTAACAAACGATTTCCGCTCACTTCATTCGCACCTCCCGCATTTGTCTGATGTGCCTCGCGCTGAGGACAACCGCATTACATTTGGTTTGTCTGACTGCACGCGTTCCTATCGGACGCACATTTGTTGAACACGCAAACCGTTTTACCGCATTTCCTGTTACCCTTCTGCTGTGTTTTCCTCCATCCTCTATGGGCACGTACTGTAAGCCGCATTTTCCAAAAAAATGTTTTCCCCATCCAGTCACTGTCTTCATTCGTCAACTGTTGTGAATCCTTTGCATATCTGCTTACGACGATATTCTTGTTGATGGGGTACACTGATTTTTGGCCCAGGTGGTTTTCACCTTTTTTTACAAGACCGCTCTATAATTCGAATATATATCACAAAGTCACTGGTAGGGATCTGAGCTATTTTAATTCCGCAGTCGCTTCGAACTTAGACGTTTGTTTGAGATGCTCCGTCATTGGCTATGGGATGAACTTGAAACTGTCTCAATCCGTCAACTAGCACTCCTCTTTCCTACCGCACTATACACTCAGTAGAAGCTTGCTGTTGTTTCAGTGTTGCTTCTGTGAAGGTTATTGTGATTGCAAATAAACTTTAGGCGCTACCTGCTATACCGGTCTCGAACTTATTCGATCTCATCAGGTAGAGATAACATGCACTCAAACCCAGGGCTTTGGCGGTGTCGGTCGAAACCTATACTCTTAAGTCATTGAGTCACTGAAAGCAACGCTTGTCATAACGTCTGATGATTAGAGGGGTCATTTTCTGAGGCACTTGTTACGTGAATGGGTTATGACGTGCATTAACAATCAGTACCACAACTTACTTAAAGGTGAGTGTTGGCCCATCCGGATACTGGAACGGTAATAACATGTCCTTTAGAAGTATCCATCGAACCACACATTGTAATGACGTCGGTTGGAATATCTTATCGCAACCGAAAATCCGTGAGCCCTGCTTTTTAGTTCGTCAGTACATTTCTGGAGTAAGAAAATCCCAATGACTTTTAAAGACTTCTAAACTGTCTCGCGTGTCACCTGAATATTTCCGGAGGAATGCTCACTTTCTAACTGCATTCGAAAACAATTTGCTTAATCAGTGAGCTTAATCTGGCTGGTGGTAAACCTCTTACGCATGATGGATATATTCCCTGACGAGCACATAATCGATGCATCCCTAGTACAGCTAGTCAAATGGGCAGCTGTGTCAGGCAGTAATTTAAATGTACTTCATAGCAGTCATCTCTCAGTCAAGAAAGCTCCCACACGTCTGGGAAAGCATCAGACGACCATTTTGACCTCCTTGGTCTCATCAGTGTTGAGCGTCAATTGGGCCTCTGGATGATATCCAAAAGTAATGCGGTAGGAACCCGACGGTTCAAGCATCTACTGATTTAGATGCACTCATGCAAAACGATAGTGTGGAAAGGGAAACGAGTGTAAACACAAACTACTATGGGGAGCATTTAAATGGGAAGTTTTGCAAACAACTTTGAACGTTTTGCCAAAAATTTGGACGATTAACGAAGCATTTTGGACGTTTGAAAAACAAAATGGACTGGTTGCGAACCAGTTAGGACATTTTGCAAACCAAAATGGACTTTCTCGAAAACCACTTTGGAGACATTGGATTTTAAGCAGAAAATCAGCAGTTCACTTGCAAGAAATGAGGAGTAAGGCGAATAGACGATGTTCCCGCTACACTGTAACCATGCTAAGGCAACCGAATTGTGTAACCGGCGGGTGCCACTGCAAACGCTTATCTTGATAATGGACCCCGATCGTCATGATCAAAGGCGGTGACTGAGTATCCTCTTATCTCCCCATCTGTCTCCTCCAAGTTTATGTGCTTATGATTTTACACATGGAGCTGTGTAGCTATGTGACTATTGGAAAATCAGACTCCCCAATCGCATAGTCTCTCATGACTTAAACTAATGTTATCTAGCATTGAAGGGTCATTGTGAATCACGCGTTTTGTAAACGGATTACGATGCGCCATCCCAATGTGGACCACGATCCCACAGAATTAATCCTCAGGCAATTCGATCACTTGTGCCGCAACTGTTGAAGCAGATAGGTGGCGATCGAGTTGTCCCTATCAATCTTCGCATATTTTGTGTGGGCCAACCTATTCAGCTACTCGATTATTGGATCAGTGCAAGCTATCATGACTCCAGCAAACATAGCATAGCTGTATTGGCCTAATGCTGCAAGTCGTTATGAAAGGAAGGGGATTAAAACGACTGGATGAGATTCAGACCACATTGTGCTCGCGTGAATACAGTGGGACCGTGCAAGCTGTGGGCGACTGTGTAAGCCCTCTTCATGTTCATGTGCGTCAGTTGTCCCCCTCAGAACCGGTGACCCAGTTGTCCCCTGTCGCTCTATTAGCTTTGGCGTATATTATGTGGGTGTGCAGGCAGCCTATTCAGTGGCTGGAAAATTGGAACAGTGTAGGCTATGATGAATTCGCCAAAACCAGCCTAAGTTTGTAGTGCTGAAGTTGCAGTTTGTTATCAAGGCAAGGGTGTAAGTCAAATGGACACTGTTCCCGCGATTTGTTGGTCATACGAATGCAGCTGGACTGTGCAAGCACTGGGAAGTGGTACAGGTCTTCCAACTGATTATTGGGGTCGTTCTCCTTCATCGAAGCGAGTAACACAGTTGCCCTGTCACCCTGATGTCATCCACGTGTTTCATGTGGCTGTGTGGGCGTACTAATTCATTTGCTCGATTATTGGATCAGTGCAGACTATCATGACTCCGGCAAACACAGCATAGCTTTATTATCCATTTTTGCTGCACGAAACAACAAAAATAAGCAAACTGTCTATAACACTTTTCACTTGCTATCATCCTTAGTGCAGTCCCTTGCATCCTTAGTGCTTCAGAGGTCCTCCGTAGTGCAGCGGCTATCATCCATATTGCAGTAGCTATCATCCCATACTCCGCGTACTTACATCCACGTTGCATTGCGTGGGCAAAGGCGTAGCGAATAAACACGCTTACGACACAGGATACTCACGATTTGGGAAGGAGGGACGAAAATTGTTACACTTGGGTGGGACCAGCATGGCCCAACTCTGATGTACGGCAATTGAGATCTTACTAAAGGGCGCACTTTGTGCCCCGCGCGCTCTCAGTGGACAATGGGATGCCGGGGACATATGCTGGAGCGCGCAAAGAACATGTCTGGAACACAGGGCGTAGCCCATCCTCTTGTTTGAGCCTGCAAAGATGTCTGTTTGAGGCTAGGGATATGCGATGCACGGAGGACCAGAGTGAACAATGTGGCTTGGTACTCCGAAGTGTTCTATGCAAGAGGCGCAGATAGGTTGCCTCGTTCTGATGGGGCCTCAGGCTACTTCGATCGGATTGTTAAAGGCGCAATACAAGCTACCAATTGATCGCGAAGTCAAGTTGCCAGTAACATACGGAGTGGAATGATATCCGTCGCAGTGGAATGAATACAATCAGCTCCACATGACTTTTTGCTGTATACGATGAGATTCCACTTTTGTAACGTATCTTCAGGTATAAGGTGAACGTGGGGTAGAAGATAATCATATTCCAACCAACTTGCTCCCATACTAGCCACACAGACAACTCTGATCAAGAAAAACAGAACAACTCCCTGTCGGAATGATATACGCACGAATGGAGAGAGCAATTAGGCATGTGATAGATGTTTGATCACAGCCTTGTAGGTTACTTTCAAATGAGATGTTAGACCGTAAACTAGATTAGTTTTTCCCCTCGTTCTGCAACTATGCAGGCCTGTCGTATTTCCTTGCGGAGGGAGTAGATTACAAGCAGGTGGTCTCGTGTAATTAGTGACATTGTCAGCTGGTTTACTACGGTTCTCCAGAAAAAGGAGTGTGGTCAGTGGTTTAGTGCGGAGAAAAAGGGTTAGGATCAATATGTCTCACAAGGGGTTGCGTTGAGCCTTTCAAAAAAGGAAAAACAACCGTAAACGAAAACGATCCGAAATCAGTGAACCTGCCGAGCAAAGTTTGGTCCACCTAAGTCGTCCATAAGTGGTTTAATGCAACTTTAAATGTCACCGCTTTCGATTTTCCCAGATAAGCCGGTGTGGGTTGATACGGTATTGCTTTCTGAATGTGCGTATCATTCAGGTGTGTTGCACTTTATTGTAATGCGAATAGCGCCTTGTAGACAAGAGGTTTGAAATCAGTTATGTACAGCCTGAAAGAACAGGTTCTGGTAGTGAATTGCATATGTGGAAAACAGGTTGGAAGAAGAAACATCATATACAATCCAACCAGCTGCCAGTTGGAGTCCGTGGCCTCGTAGTCTGTGGTTATGACCGAGTTTTAGCAGCCGAAAACAGGAGTGAATAGGGTGATCATGATTAGATCCCCGCGCAAACGCCGGTACCCTTCTTTGAAGACTCCTAAAGTACTCAGATGCTGTTCCTACGGTAAGCGCCATAGCCCTTTGACGTAATTGTTTACTCACTGTAGGAAAATTTCCAAGATCGCGAGATCTTGCTTCAGCCATTTTGTATGGCATATTCCACGTGCTGGCATGTGAATGCAGAAAGCAGCTGTGATAAATAACTAGGTCTAAGTGACCAAAGGCTATTGTTCAGTGCTAGCGCAAATAGATTCGACCAGTCTACGTTTTCCTGTGTTAGCCCAGCGCGATCTTTCTTCTGAGGACAGCGCTGGAGATCATCGCCGCTAAACTTATGGGTGTGAAGCATGTGATGTTGTGGATGGAGTGCACACATCTACTCAATTTGAACAGAAGACGATTGTGGACTGACCAGTCATGAATATTGGGGAGGTCATTTTGAAGCTGCCTACAGTCTGATGGAGATATGAGCCACCACCGAGACTCTATGCTGTCTCGTAAAGCAAACAGAGTGAAGTGATTTGTCAGATTGTCACTTAAACTCTCAATTACGGCCTTGACACGTGTCCTGCTCGGTCTATGTTATCTACTTATGTGTGTTGTATTTAGCCTGATGATGAATCAGTGAAAACGAGCTTTCTTGCCATATTGACCCTTCATTAGTAGAACTGGAATTAATAACCACATGAAAATGCGAAACATCGGGGCTCCGACGGGGAACCATGTGACATACTTATTCCACGTGTATTGAAGTTAATACTGAATCGCGTAATTTCACTTCCAGCCGTGTGTGCAAAATGAAGTTGCTGATAAACTACGTGAGGGGAATACCAATGTCGCACCCCCGAGGGTT